TTGATATACTGATGCTGTCAGATATCATTACTAATACTTTACAGCACAATGTAAACCCACTCAGTGCCCAGCAGACGGAACTCAGGAGGAGCAGGTACCCATGGAGGAGGAGATGGGAAGTGGCCCGGGGATAGCAGACCCCGAACCCATGTCAGTGTGTTGCGGTCAGGATCCCCACTGACTGCGCGGCAGACGGACTGCTGCGGATAGGGCCCCGGGCTGGAACACAGTGGAGTGGGTGGGCCTGTGTTCCCCCCTGCCACCCTGCGCCGGGTGGCAGTCTCTCCTCCTCCTTGTCCAAGGGGCCTGGGCCCCTGACAGACTATCGGTTGGCTGCCCCGCCCTGACCTAGGGCCTGGGCTAACCCAAACTGACCCAGCCCCTGCTACAAGGCCTGGGCCACTGACTGACTATTGGTTTGCTGCCCCGCCCTGACCCAGGGCCGGAGCTGTTAATTGTATGCTCAGTCCCTGCCTAAAGGCCTGAGTTCTGAACTGATTAATTGTGTGCTCAGTCCCTGCCTAAGGGCCTGAGTTCTGAACTGATTAATTGTGTGCTCAGTCCCTGCACAAGGGCCTGAGTCCGGAACTGTTACTTGTGTGCTCAGTCCCTGCACAAAGGTTGAGCTCTGGACTACCAATTGCGTGCTTAGCCCCTACCCAAAGGTCGGGGCCCTAACTGTTATTCGCTTTGTAGCGGGGTGGCCTGGCTTTCAGGCGCCCCAGGAAGGGACGAGCCCCACCCCGGAACTACTACACCCCCCAAACCTCTTGCGAATTCTTTCTAAAAGCATTTTTGGGGATTTTCCTGGTTTTGCGGTCCATTCACCAAAAAAGATCCATTCTTCTGAACACACATATTTCATTCTTCTTGTTGCTAATACGCTGGTTCCAGCAGAATATAGCCATTTTGGAAGGTCATCATCATCCCAGATGAGGTAATTCTTAGGACAATTTTAAGGAGAGTTTTGAAGAGGAGAAGACAGACTTTGAATTCAACTCAGTATTCAAGGGGGAGCCATTTGACAGTGGACCACTGGAGTGTTGTGCTCTCAGAGACTGAGCATATAGGTTACATATTATGTATAGAGAATGACAATAATTAATCCCAATGGTCACATGACTAACATGCCATAAAACAAGGACTATTTGCCCTATTCACTCTCCTGGCAGAGAAAAGAAATCAGCTGAGTAGACTTGAGGTAATTATGTGTCAGGCTTCTCCGAAGTAAGGGAGCTTCCTGATCATGAAGAGATGCACTCATATTGCTAACATTCCCCTTGTCAGGCCACTTCCCTTTTTCAAATATAACCAGAATTCACCAGATGAATTAAAGGGCCACCATCAACTTTTAGAGAGATACTTCCATTGCAAAATGTTTTATCTACTTGTCAGTATTTGCTACATTAAACATTACGAAAACTGAAGAATTTGAGGAAAAGCTATTTTTCCAGTATTACTTTCTGCCTTTGACAACATTACACATAGTATTTCACTTTAGGAATCTTCTCTAGATTATGTGGGTCTCACATAGCAACAGAGAAGAGAAAATCATTTAAAAATAGGAAAACATAGCAGTAAAACTACAAAAATTGACAGGAAGACTCAGCCAGCTGTACTACTGGAAACTGCTTTATTATTAATTCATTTGACTAGATTTCCACCTAACAATCCTTAAGCAAGATTCCAACAACATTTCAGAAGGGAAATGCAATTCACCCAGTACACCTAGAGCAGGGGTGGGCAAACTTTTTGGCCCGAGGGTCGCATCTGGGTGGGGAAATTGCATGCAGGGCCATGAAAGTAGGGCTGGGGCAGGGTGTTGGGGTGCAGGAGGGAGTGCAGGGTGTGGGAGGGGGTGCGGTGTGCAGGAAGGGGCTCAGGGCAAGGGGTTGGGGCAGACGAGGGGCACGGGGTGTACAAGGGGGCTCAGGGCAGGGGGATAGGGTGCAGGAGGGGGCCCAGGGCAGGGGTGCAAGGAGGGGTGCAGAGTGCGGAAGGGGGCTCAGGGCAAGGTGTTGGGGTGCAGGAGGGGTGCAGTGAGGGCTCAGAGCAGGAGATTGGAGCTAAGGGCAGGAGGGGTGCAGCAGGGGGCTCAAGGCAGGGGGTTGGGGTGCAGAAGGGGCTCAGGGTGCGGGCTCCAGCCCGGCGCCACTTATCTGGAGCGGCTTTGGGTGGCAGCAGTGCGCGGCCGGGCTCAGGTAGGCTGCTTGCCTGCCCTGGCCCCGTGCTGCCACGGGGGTGGCAATCCTGCGGGCCATCGTTTGCCCACCCCTTACCTAGAACAACATTAAATGAATACCAGGAAAACTTTCTCCACACAAGAATGCATCTCTGCAGCCCCATAGAGCAACACTGCCTCTCCTGTTTGTGCTGAGATCGAAGCCAAATGCCCAAAGCATACAAATACTTACACAAATTTCAGTAATTCCAGTGATGTCAGTGGGACTGCCCAAAGGCAAAAATCATGCATAAGTGCTTACAGGGTTGGGACCTTAGTTAACCCAACAGTAGGCATGCTCAAGGGTGAAAGCTACCAAAACTGGCAATAACCAACCAGTAACATATAGCAAAGCAAGAACTACTGAAAACCTACACCTCAGAGCATGCCCTCCAAGACAGGAAAGCCACCAGCAGCTGCAGAGGAGAAGAGAACAGGAGAATTAGCTCAAAGGCAGCAAGTGGTATATCAGACCTCTGCAGACATTGACATATTCCCTCTCTACATAGCTTTTTACAATAATCTTGTGATTTTAGTGTTAGTGACTGGTTCTGGCCTGACAATTTCAGAGACTGAAGATCTTCATTTATCCATAGAATATGTATTACAGGGACAGTCCAAACTTCCCCTCACTGCCCCATCAGTGCCTCATGCATTTAGCCAAAATCATCTTAAGGGTCAGACTTCTATCTACATGTCCCATTCAGTTTTTGGCCTCTTCCAAGGATGCCAATAAGAGGGCCAATTAGCTTTGGCTAGTTGGAAAGCTCTGTATTCAATTATCAATCCCCTGAGCTAAGCTGCCCACAGCATTATCCCACCTGCTTCACAAAGTGAGAGGATTTCTGTTCTGAAAGTTGAACAGCTCTGTCCCTGGAACCTACAAGATTTTCGAGCTGATCTGACACTTGTTACTTGCATCAACCAGAAATACAAGTTCTCAAAAACATCTCTGCTCCTCTGCAAGCTACAAACTGACAAGCGCAAGTGTCGTGACTCTGTGAGGCTACATTGCTTGCTACGGAAGGCCAGCACGAGGATTGGGAGGGACCGAACACGGACAGGAAGGGGCTCGGGGAGAGGGGATTTTGATGCGGCTCTAGCCAAGGGACACACTTCAAGCTTTGGGCGCTGCGGGATGACCCAGCCTGTCCTGGCTCGGCGGGGCGTGTCAGGCACAATCCAAGCGCAGCTGCCTGCCGTGTGCTTCTGAACGCTTCCGGCTCCCCCGGAGCCCGCCCTGCCATTGCAGGGAGGCTCAATAGCAGCATTAGGAATTTGGAAATCGCTCCCCCGACTGCCCCAAGCAGCGGGGCGTGGGGACGAGCCGAGTCCCGCTGGCCAGGCCCCGCTCTGCGCTCCCCACGGTCACTTGCGGCAGCGCTTGTAGCGACTCTTCAGCCCAGGAGCCGGAGGTTTCGGAGGCGGCCCTGAAGGCCGGAGAAATCTGCCCCCAAACCTAAGGGCTCCGGTTCCCGCGCAGAACAACTCCCCGCCCCCGCCAGCTCCGGGGGATCCCGACACCGCGCTGCGGGGAGACGCGCTCCGCGCTAGACACTGACCCGGTGGGGGGGGGGGGATTCCTGCTCCCCTCCAACGTAATAACGGCCCCGCGCTCGCCCTCCCCCCGGCACCTCACGGGCCGCGCCCGCCCTGCCTCACCGGCCGCGCTCCCCCGCAGTCTCTCCGGGACGCCCCGCAGCTGCGCCTGCAGCCCCCGGAAAATCTCGTGCAGCCGCTCGAAGTGCTCGGAGGAGCCGGAGCCCCGACCCGCCATGGCGGCGGCAGCTGCCGTCTCCCGGCCCTCTCGCCTGTTGCTAGGATCCCAGGCCCATCGCCCGCTCTTCACAAACACTTCCGGGACGCGAGTCGGGGCTTCATCGTGCCGGCCACTCGGCCCGCCCGGGAGGGTGCCTTCCATAGCGCCTGATGATCAATCACTCGGCACCGCCCCTCTAGCCACGAGGTTCACAGCGCAGTTCCCCACCGCCTTGCGAGAGCAGCATTCGGGGTCTGAGTCGCCATTCCCGAATGGCACTAGCCCGGTTCTACGGATCAGGCACTATCCTTGCCACCTCGAGAGGGAGGCCCCGAGACTCCATGCCGCGCACTGCATGTTGGGAAGTGTAGTCCTGCTGTGGGGAGGATCACGCGGGAGTCATGGGACTTTCAGGTAGGTAGGTCCCAAGGCGGCGAACGACCGGACCGGACAATGCTGGGTGGAGCTGCCTCTCTCCCAGCTGCCCTTAATCGCTGGGGGTTTCTGTCCCAGCCTTATCTGTAGGGTTGCCAGTTTTGGTTGGACTATTCCTGGAGATTTAATCACATGACACTCTTTAATTAAAGATTACTTTTTAATTCCTGGAGACTCCAGGCTGATCCTGGAGGGTTGGCAACCCTATGATTGTCTGTCACAAGGGGCGCAGCCACCACGCTGTTCTCTATTCTGGAGCAACATGGGCCCCCTCCCATTCCTGCTGGGTGCAGGCAGCTGGGAGCCTTGTGGCCCCAGTTACCTGTCAGGAGCCTAAACTTGCCAGACTTGGACTCAGATCAAAAGTGAATGTTGGGAAAAATTGTCTTTAAAATACCCGTTGATGGTTTACGAGCCATTACTTGGCCCCCAGAATGATGGGGTGTCCATGGCCCTGGTGAAGTGTTGGGATCATTTATATAATGAGAATTCTAGAGTAATTGTGTTTGACAGCATTGCACTTGCTCCCTGCATGCCTCTGAATAACGATGTGGTTGGTGGTCAGGCCTTTATCGAGGCTGGCAAAGTTCAGTTCCAAAGCAACAAGATTGGTTCGACAGTTGCTGTGACCACGCACAGTCTATACCTGTTTTACCCCATCACTTTGTGTAGGCAAGGAATGGAAAATGTGCAAGAGTCCTGCACTGCAAGCACATCCAAGAGCAAGGTTTAAGGTGGTTTGCTCCCCTGACCAGTATAGCAAGGATGTGTACATACCAGCAATCTCAGAGAAACCCAGTGTGTTGAGTTTGTTATGCTATGTCATCCAACACAGTAGCTTTGCGTTCAGGTTCTGGCTTGGCAGATCTGGACATTGAAGTCTCCTGTCCAAGGAGCAGATACAGTACAGAAAGTCAACACAAATTTTCTCATGTGGCTTAACAGTAGTGGTAAAAAAAGGAGTGGGTAAACTCTTGCTTCCCAACCTTAATTTTCAAATCATAATCAATCATTATCAGAAAAAGAACAGTTAATTTGTAAGTATAATAATAATTAATATATGTATTCAGTCAGTCCACACATGGAGTAGCACTAGTTGCTTATTGCAGATTTTACAGGCCACTTGTCTGGTGCTGGATGTAATCACCCAGTAGATGACTCACACAGCAGTTGTTGTGGTCACAGGAGAATAGGGGTAACTAAAGCCTTTATTTCTTAAATGAGAAGTGAGTAAACTCCGTACTCTCCAAATGTGAAGAGCTAAAACTCTGGTTACCCTTGGCTATTTTACTGCTTAACAGTTTACTTCAAATGTGACCTGGAGGGCTCCCTTTAGGGTTAATAGTCTCTATGCCCCATTCAGTAGTTTCTTCCTTACCCTTTGCTAACAAGAGGTCCAAGTGGTGGTAGTTATGGTAGTTGTTTTTGTGATGTGTACACCTGACCACAGGGAACTAGCCTGAGACACTTCCATTCATCTCATGTAGGACATCAAATGATTTCCTGCTCTCATCAACTGTGCTGCAACCCTCAGCTTAGGAAGCAGAGTTCTTTCAGGAACTTCAAAGGTATCAAATGACACTCCCCACCCCCCGCAGTTCAGATTTGGAATACAAAATTGACTCCATTTTTGTCTTGCCAGTAGAGTTGTTAAATTCCTTGAAACAATAAGTGAAGTGTTAGAGTCCTTGCTGAGCTCCTCCTTGTGGAAGATCACCTGCTGTATTGGATGCAACTGTTGGATCCTGGGTGCTTCCAACCCTGCTGGGTCCAAGTAGCATTCAGAGACTGTCTCTATGTCTGGCCTTCAGACACACTCTCAGGTTACAGACTCCAATGCTGATATCCTCTCTTGGGATATGGAGCCCTGTGACCCAGCTGCTCTAGGTCCGAAGACCAGTGTGGATCTTCCCCAGTTTCTCCAGTAGCTTAAGTACACCTTTCACCAGAGCTCCTCTTGCACATGCGCTCTGGGTTACAGTTTAATGGTTTGGGGACAACATGACCAGGGCGTCCTACCCGTACGTGGCTGCATAGGGCACCCCAGCCCTGCCTCTTCCCACCTCTGCTCTGCCCCACCCCCACTCCACCCCTTCCCCAAAGCCCCCGCCCTGCTCCATCACCGCCCCGTCCCTTCCCACCCCTTCCTGCCCTGCTCTGTCCCAGCCCCGCCCCCACTCCCCTGAGGACTGCGGCAGGGTCAGGCCTGTAGTCACCGGTGGCGGGAAGTGCAGCAACTTGGCGCACTGCCAGTGAGTGCTGGGGGGCGGTTCCCCCATGTCCCCCAAGCCAGCCCCACTCCCCGGGAGGCCTGGGGCCCCACCCCCCACGGGGGGCTGCGTAGGGCCCCAGAATGGCTAGGGACGGCCCCGAACATAACAAATAAAGGATCATGCTGGTTTTGCAAAGGCACTTCATAACCATACACATTTTACTCATATAAGAGCACAATAGCTTTACAGATCTATGCAAAAATAACAAGCATCTGAATGCAAACCCTTCCCTCCAGTACCGTCCTCACTCCTGGGTTTTGGTCAGAGTTTTTAGGGGTTCCATGGCTCAACTGCACCACATTCCTACTCAGTCTTCTCTTCCTGGTGATGGTCTACTTGCTAAGGAGCATGTTTCCTTTTAAAAGCAGTTTCTAGCACCGGGTCTCTTTCTGTCCTTGCCCTCGGGTTTTTCCATTCTCTATTCCTCTGTCTGTTGCTGGCCACTGAAGATCATTAACAGTTCATAGCTCTGCTGACAGTCTCCATTGTTCTGCCAGCAAGGGTGGATACAAACTGATGTTTTTAAAAAAAATTTAAAATTAGACTTTTTAAAATTAGATTAAAAAAATTTAAATTAAATACAGGTATATTCCTTTTTTTTAAAAAGGAATTTATTTATTTGAAATTGACAACCTATGTTAAGGCCTAAACTTCTTATAATCTATTAAAATAATTAAAATTATATACAGAAATAACATTCAAGCAGTATATATTTGCTGCCAAGATTTAAAGAAAGTCAAACCCCTAAAATAGTGGAAGTCAGTGGTTAAGGACCTGGAATCACAGTTTGTTGAAGTGCCAAACCATCTTTTGAAAGCAATAGCCTCTGCCGCAGGTGCAGAGAGAATATTTTCTTCATTTCAGTTCATTCAACTAGTTCAGTTCAATGACTGGTTCATTCAAATTTAAGAACCCAATTGGAAGTTAAAAAAGCAGGAATGATTGTTTTCCTCTTCCAATATATGAATAAAATCTAGGTTTGAGAAGATGAGATCTTCTACTTCTAAAACATTGGGTAGTCACCAGAAATAATCACTTCAGTTCACTAATTATAGATAATACTTCCTTTGTTTAAAAAATCAGTTTGCTTTAAAAGGGAAACATCTTTTGATAAACTTTTTGATAAAGTTATTTTGTATACGGCACATTTTTTTAAAAATGCTCTTTTTGTATATTTTTAATTGAATTAAAATTTCCTTCCAAATAGAGCTTGACACAAATTACAAGTAAAACTTAATCAACTAATAAATAAGAAATTCATCATTCACCATTTTGTAACATAATAAAAATGTTAAAATTAAGAATCTGAATAAATGTAAATTAAGCTATATAATTGCTTAAATAAATGTGTATAGATATGGGGTATCTCCTGGTTAGCAAAAAGAATCACAAATTTAATGTAAGGGCTATATTTTGTTGCAAATCAACATGTTTTAATGGTTACCAACTAATGAGAATTAATCTTAAAGAAAATATCTAAAAAGTACAAATCAAGGTTTCCTGCTTGCTGATTTAAATCATGACCAATTATTGATGGCCACTAATGGCCCTTTCTTTCAGGACTGGAGATTGTCAGGTTCGTGCCATAAAATGGAAGATTTAATCCATATAAGGTCATAGTGAGAAAGAGATTTCATACAATCAAATGGAATTAATAAATTTACATAAGCAGATTCCCCAAACTGTCACAAATACTTAAATGCCTGCATAATTAAGTAGGAGTGCCTACTATACTGCATCTGAAGAAGTGAGGTTTTTTACCCACGAAAGCTTATGCCCAAATAAATCTGTTAGTCATTAAGGTGCCACCGGACTCCTTGTTGTTTTTGTGGATACAGACTAACATGGCTACCCCCTGATACTATATAGTATAACTATTGTTAAATATCTAACTGGACTCATAGGGAAATGTTCTATTGTCCATGGTCACTATGCAATTTTCAAATAGTCAGAACTTTGGTAAATCATAACCAAGCCAACCAAAAGCACCACTGTTTCTCAATGAGGACTGTGTTCATTCCAATTTTAAATTCTTGCTGGTTTTGTTGTGTCTACGTTTAAAAATAATTATTAGAATTATTTTATAATGGGAAGTGTGTTTTTTCACTGTCTCATAATTCAAGTCTGAAAGATTTTTGCTTGCCCTTTCCAGAAAAATTCACTGCAGGGCATAGACTGAATATGGAAAACTAAAATTGAATGTTTCAGAAAGTTATGAGTGTGAAAACAGGAAGTTATAAATGAAACTTTTTCAACCTTAATTATAATGGTTGGTACCAGCCATCATAAATATAGGTATGTGACATAGGCAATAGAAAACTTTTAATTT